CTAATAATAGTTTCCTTTTCTCACTTGCTCTTAATGTCATTCATGATCCATGATTCTAATAATTATAATGTTACAATAAGAATTAGCATCTCCCTAGAAAACAAATCTACAATTTCTAGTATAATTGATCAGGAGACATAATTAACAATAGGTATTTGACGTGGTTATATGAGGTTAATACACTAAGAAATGGGTTTTCATAGCACTTGCTACCTCCCGTCCTAAAGATTAGAGTTAGTTCAAAATCATAAGATTTTAATTTTATTTTTTTTATTTATTTATTTTTTTTTTAAAATAGCCCTTATGATGATTATACATCTTAAAAGCTTTTAACAAGTATATTTTTGAGAAGACAACACCTATTATTACAAATAATTAGTTTAACTAATTTTTTAATATTTTTAAATTAGTTATCTAGTTCTTACACTAATCAAAGGTATTTGTATTATTTTTAATCAAAGGTAATGCTTTTTCTTAGTTGCCAAAGAAAAATGTGGTGCTTCTATGGGGCTTACTTGGTTGGAAGGAATTTGTAATTTGGAAGGGAAAAAAAAGGGGAAAGGGATGACTATGGAGACCAAGGGAGGAAATATGTTTTACAAAATATCCACAATTTAGGTGCAAAAAGGCAAAAAAAATTTAAGCAAAAGGAAAATGGGCAAATCATAATGTATCATCTAGGAAAAAAAGTTAGTATAATATAATACTCCCTTCAATTCTAAATACAGAAACCAAATGACTAATTTGTAGTGATTAAAAAATTAATTAAATTGGTTATTTGTAAAAAAATATGCCTTGGTTTTTCTTAAGTATCCCTTTCAATCATTTGTATTGGAAACTGCACTCTTGATGAAAGACTTCCTTTAATATGTGCAATTAATAGGGAAAGTTTATATGAAAAGCAAAACGATGCTAGTAATAAGAAGAGTTTAGGAAAAAAAATCATACATTTAAAAACAAAGTGAATTGATGTCTTAAATATAATATCAAAGAAAACTCTACTACAAGCTCTTACATTTAACACTTGAGAGAGTATATGTTATTAAAAAGACAATGCAATATATGCAAACACCAAGTTAGACTTGATTAACTGGTCCTGAAGGTTATTAGTCGGAGGTTTGGTTTGACTCGACCAACCAACATGAATAATGCTACAAGTACCAATATTATAAGTGCTGATTAACCAGTTACATAAAACGTCATTAGAAAGACTTCCAACAGCAGTTGTATTGGAATTGGACTTGTAAGCTCAATCACATTTGATTCTAATCCATAGGTATTGGGAGAAACTTGCCAACAAATAAGTTGTTTAATTAGCCTCCCCCATCATCTCATCTCTGGTTGAAGGGAATCACTGGTCTTCTTTATGTGTTCCACTAGGCTAATATGGAGGCATAGTGGGGAATCACTGACCATTAGTCATATTTGTTGAGTTTAGGCTCAATGATTCAACAGCAACAAGTTTAAGAGGGCCGAGATCCCCATTTCTGTTCTTTCACTGTGCGTGCTTTTTCGATGGATTAAACTTCCAAGCATCTTTTTGAATTTTATAATTACATCAATTGGATTTAATTTATTATTCTTTTTCCATATTCAAGAATCATAAAGCTGCAATTTCTCATCTTGGCGATGGAAAAATTCCGTCACTAATTTTCATCACAAAATGAGAGTTAGTGACGGAAATTAGTGACGGAAAAATTCCGTCACTAATAATTTAAAACAAAATTAGCGACGAACTTGTGACAGTGACGGAATAAGATTCTGTCACTAATCCTTCACTAATTTAACGACGAAAATTTTTTGTCACTAAATTCCATCGCTAATTTTAGTGACGGAATTTGTGAGGGACTAGCGACAGAATAAAATTCCGTCACTAAATTCCTTCATTAATACCCTGTTTTTTTATAGTGTAATCTAAATATCCTAAATAATTCAAATATTCTAGAAATATAATAAAATCATAATTATTTCTTTCATATCCCCTCACTTAACATCTTAAAACAATATAGCATATGATAGTCTTACCATCAAAATAAGAGGCACCTAGCTTAGAAAGAGTGTACATATTTCGGATCGTTAAACTCACTACTCACCTCCTGAAAATTAGAATAATAAAATATTAGTTCATCAAGGATAGTAGAGATGAAAAATAAAATTGTATATTATAGTTGCAAATTTGAAAAAAAAAACAAAGAGAAAGAGAGAGAGAGAGAGAGAGAGAGGAGAGAAACAATATACCTCTAGTAGCAGTAAAAGAACTTGTCAAGTGTTTGGAAGTAAGAGTGAAGAAATAACAAAGTAAAAAAACAATAAAAGTGGAGCAAATAAACCACAAAGAGGAATAAGAAAAAAAGTGAATTTCAGGATGAAAGACATAGAATATATAAAAGCAAGAAATCAAAGTTGAAGAAGTGGAATATATAAAAGCATGTACATTTGATGTAGCTTCACGGGTTTGCATGGGGAGGATAAGTTGAGTTGACAAGTGAGAGAAGTGAGGGGAAGGAAATTGTAAAGGGATATTACGGTCAAAAAGTGAAATCGTTCACCTAAAGAATAATTTCACTTTTTGTTAGATAACATACAAATCGTTCTTAGCAAAAACAACTTAGCAAGAACAACTTATGTACAATTTGAAAATTGTTTAGCATATTGGTAAATACTTTTGAAATTGTAGTATTTTAGTATTTTTTGTTGTTGTGTATAGTATACCAGTAAAAAAGCCACTATATCTACCTAAGCAACATAACATATATATGCGTGGAAATAAGGGTGACTTGGTGAAACCAAACACACCTTAGTATCATGAAGTCGAAACTTGAACCTTTACATGCCAAAACATCATCAAAAAATCGGGAACACGCTTCAGCAAAGTCTTGATGTAATAGTATAGTATCTTATTTCGAAGGCTACTTAGATATTCCCCTTCCTACCGTAGCCTATAATGGCCGCATGCGTTGTTTATTTTATTTGGCTTCTTTTATGTTCTTCATCATTTTGAAAATGGAGATGCAAATTTTCCGGGCTAAGAAACACAACAAACATGAAAATATACAGAAACATATAATGGTAAATATAAATACTACCTCCGATACTCAATATAAGAGTTTGACTTTTAATTTAGTCTTAAATATAAGACTCTAATTTACTTTGTCTCTCATATTTATATTTTTTCCTCTGAAGTAGTCTTTGTAATAATTGTAAATATTAAAGGTTTTTATCAAATGTTAGAGCGTATTTGATTAGCAAGGGTATTTTAGAGAAGACAATACATATTTATTAGAAATAACTAATTTAACATACTTTCTTAATCTACTCAAATTAATCAACTAGCTTTTATATTAAAGACAAGAGGATCTATAATTATGAGGGAATATATGCTAGCTGATCCGAATTCATATGGTAAGCACTCAAACATACTCTTCTAGTCCTATTTATAAGTCATTTTTAATATGTTTCACACATATTAAGAAAAATCTAAAATTTCATTAACTCTTATTTAAAATTCAACAATTTTTTAACTTTATCCTTATTTAATACACATTATACCTTATGTAAACAAGGTTAACACTAATAAATAAAGGGTAAAATTATACAGCCATACAAAAAATTTCTCTCATCAGTGCCCTATAAATATGACAAAAAATATCTTCTCTTTCCATCTTATAAATAGGACCAGAAAAATAGATTCCAATGCACTAATAGCATTCGGCTTGCTAATTCTAACTGGCAATAATACCCTATAGCATCCTTTAGAGCCAGAAAAATAAGCCGAGCCAGTTTAGGCCTAAAAATTGTGAGAACAAGACTTGAAATTTTTCCCTTAAAATGAGAAACGAGCTTAAAAGAGCTAATCCTGTACGGCCGAGGCCCTTTTATAATTTTTAAAAAATTTTTATACAATTTTAATAATATTGGTTTTTTTATTGTTAATAATATTTTAGATATTTAGTTATTATTTTGGAATTAAAGTTCATAAAATAGTTCGATTCATTTGGTTTTGGACAATAATTTGTTCAATTAGTAGCTAAATGTTCATCGATTAACTAAACCGCAAGTGGACGGGTTACAAGTAATATAAAAAGTATCGTTCCCTCAGAGACTAAGGCTAGATGAGTTGAAAATCATAATTGTGTACTTGATTAGGTTAAGTGAAACAATTGTTGTAAAAGAGTTTGAGAAATGAAATTAGGAAAACAAAGGTTTAAAGCAGTATAAAATCAACTTGACCTTGAAACAATTAAGAGACTAGGGTTATTCTTCACTAAAGTACTTCATGAACTGGATTAATCACTTCTCAAGTAGTGCGTTACAATAAGTTCAGTTAGCCTGGGTTTGCAGAATTGATTAAGCTTTCTCAAGTCAAAACCAAATGTTTGCAATCACGATTAAAACACAGCAATCTCTTGCATTTGTTTGAAAAGGTTGCACTTTAAAAACCAAAACCCATTTAGTCTATGCTAGGTCAACAGATACATCTCTGTTCTATCAACAAACCGTCTATTTACTCAATTAAATTTCCGGACTAGCATGTTTTTACCAAAGTTCACATATTAACTGAACTTTCTCAAGTTAGACTAATCAAACAATCATTCTAAATGATGGCCAGACATAAGGAAGCATTAAGTTCAAAGTAAAAACAACTGAACATTATCATTAACACTGAAGAGATAGTAAAACCAAGTCTCAATCCATACAATAGATCAAAATAACCCTAGAAAAATGGATTTAGCTATACATATCGAGAAAAGAACTACAGCTATAAGAGTAGCTAGTAGTCATAGCAGAAACAAGAAGGGAAGAAGAAGAAAACCCAGAAAAATCAAGTTACAAACTTCGAATTTCTTCTAGCTTCAAGCCCAAAGATTCCAAGCTTCCAAAACTCCAAACCCTAGCAGAGCCAGCCTCCAAAATCACTCCAAAGTCGAAGTTTTTTTTCAAAAACCGAGTATCCCCCTCTATATGCCCTAATTTTTTAAGTTACAACATAAAACGCACAGCTGCGAGGGGTTAGGCGTCGTGGCGGATTCCTTCAGGCGCCGCAGTGCCTTTTACAGAATGGCTTTCCTTCGAGGCTAAGGCGCCGCGGCGCATGTGATAATTGGTCGTGGTGGATTATACCCAATAGGCTTCCTCCGAGACAGCTTGGGCGCCGCGACGGATTCAATAAGGCGCTGCGGCGCCTTTTACAGAGACGCACTCCTACTTCTCTGTTTGAGCCGCCGTGGCGTTTTCTCCTAGATGCCACGGCGGATGACTTCTTTTCAGCTCTTCTCAATTCCTTACTCTCCTCAGGCTTTGTTTCCTGCAAAATTGACTTTTAAACCCAATAAAAGAGCGCTAAATCAGCTTAACTCAGTAGGAATTTTCAGAAGTTATCACACCCCCAAACTTAGACTTTTGCTCGTCCTCGAGTAAAACAACAAACCAGTGACTAAGTAACAATTTGCACATCAAAGACTGTAGGAACAGTTATATCCTCATCAAATGCTCAAGAAAATATGCAGGATAGGAAATTACTGAATTACCCAAAGAAACAAGTTTCATGAGCTTAAAACAAACTTTCAATGATTTTGGAGTGTGAGTGTGTGTAGAGTCAATGAGCATCTCTTATGATACTGTCTCAGCGGAATGGGAGACTTTAGCCAACATACTAACCTTCAACCGCATCCTTTCATAAGCCTAACTTCTTCTCTCTTTCTATCTACAACTCACCCCATATACATTTGAAATCAAAGGGACTTTTCGGCTTATAACGTGGCCAAGAGGTAATGGCTTAGGAAAGAAAGGGAAAGTAGAGTATACAAATACTTTGAGATAAATAGATATTCAATAATCATAACCACTTTCATTCTCCCAAACTTCTACCACAATTATCTATATATAGATATATATATTTCTTTTTTTTGTTTTTTTGTTTTTTTGTTTTGGTTTTTTTTAAAGGACATTGAAAACAATAACTTACAGCTTAGTTCCTAACACTTTAAATTTTCAGAATAATTGACTAACCCTGCCAACCTTTCAAAATCTCCACATTTCATCAAACTCCTTATCCTTCCAACTTCCATTTATCTCAAAGCTAGGGACTTCATGGTTTTTCTCAATTGGTTTTGGGTTAGGAAGAGGTTAGGATTTGAAACAAAACTTGAACATATATACTTTTTTTTTTCCTTTCGGCTCAAAGTATGGGTTCAAAGGACAAAATCTATAAGGTCAGCCTGAAAGGCTCAAATGCATTTAAGAATTGCCCTAATCCTTTTTCAAATTCATACAGAACAAACCATAAACTTTGAGAAATCAGAAGAAGGTTCTGAAACAATTTAGTTGAAACAAAAGTATAGAGGCTAAATTATCCACTCAACCTCAACATAACCACTTGAAATGTCTTGACCCTTTTAGTGCATTAGTTTCTTCAAAATTAAAGAAACACAAGTTTTAACATCACAATTCAAGCATCAAAGAGCAATTCAAAACTTCCTATCAAGCATAGTAACTAAGCACTTTGTTCAATCATTGGACCATTCATACATTCTCAACTAACAACTTGCCACTTCAGCTCATCTTTAATAAAATCAACCGAGTAAAAATTTAAGCTGACAAATTTCTACTATTTCAACTGTTTCAAAATTTACTCAACAAAGCGACCTTTCAAAAATTTTGAAATTTAACCCTGTTATCCACAAAAATCAGTCCTCACCCCCAAACTTAAAACTGACAGTGTCCTCACTGTCAACAAGAGGAAGTAAAGATCAGGGCATGCAGGCATAATAAAAAAAAACAATATATTCGTTGCATGAAAGGTCAAAATTTTGCTTTTCTTTCTGTACAAGTATAGCAATATGCACAACTATCAATAGTATCGCCATCAGATAACCATAATGAAATCATCAATTACTAAAGGCATCCACAAATCAATCAATCAAAAGATTCGTTAACCATCCACATTTTCAATCATTTCTCAGCAGTTAACGCAGTTAATATCAACAGTGATAGATACTGTTCAAGAGTCACAATCAGTTCAACAGGCCATCAGTAGCCTTTTCAGAATCATAGAAGCAAACAACATCACACAAAATAGATCAAAACCCTAGAAAATGCAAAAACACACATAAAAACAAAAGCAACAACAGCAGCAGAAACGGCCCCAGCTAGTTATCATCCTCCTCCTCGGACTGCTGACCCCCCTGATCCTCATCACCCTCTGCAAATGGATCAACGGCCATATCATCGCCCGAGCCAATACCAGCCCCAGAAGTTCTAGCTTCATGTTCCTCTCTCGGTGACTAGGGGTGTTCACGGGACGGATCGGGACCGGGACAGGCCCGTCATGGTTCCGTCCCGATGAACAGTAACGGGACAGATTTTCTGTCCCGTGTCCCGGCTCGTCCCGGTCCCGGTCGGGACGGGACAGATCCGGGACGGGACCGGGACATCCCGAAATATATTTTTTTAATTTTTTTTAATTTTTTTAATTTTTTTTAATTTTTTTAAAAAAATCTGATTTTTTAATTATATTTTTTTGAGCTTAAATCTTATAAAAACATCTTTTTTATTTGTTTGGGCACTCTTAAACAAAAGCTCAAAATATTACATATAATAGTTATTAAAAACTCTAAACAAAAGCTTTTAACACAATAAAAACTTGCTAAAAAATCTAATCATCAATAATCTCAAATCATTAACAAATATAAAAACTCTAAATAAATATATCCATAGTTCCATACAATAGTCTCAAATCTTAAAAAAATATGAAAAAAATGATATTATATAAAAAGTTAAAAAAATTAAATTTTTTTTTTAAAAAAGGGACCGGGACGGGACGACCCCGTCCCGTGTCCCGTCCCGTCTCGGTCCCTTTTTTGTCTCGTCCCGGTTTGTCCCGTCCCGTCCCAATAAGACCGGGACCGGAACGGGCCGACCGGGACGGGCCGGCCTTGAACACCCCTATCGGTGACTCAGCCTCCGTGCTGGTATCTTCCATATCCGACGCGTCAATGTCCATTTTCCTTGCCATCTAGACTAACAGTTCTTCCATGCACTTTTGTCTACGTCTCCTGTGACGTATCTCTCTATCCAATTTCTCGTGGAGGAGATCCAAGCTTCGAGTGGTAGGGTTGACACTAGCACTGGCTTGAGCTTCCTGTTCCCTCCTATATTCCTCGGGAAACTGTTCAGCATACATGGCTTCAGTGATCCTTTGCTGTTCTCGTTCAGGAACCAAATTAGAGTAGTTGAATGGTGAAACAGGCTTGAACTTTTGATCTTTTTCTTTCTATTGTACCTCCGCTTTAGTTAACAGATCCGAGATGAGATGAGGCATGACGAGATTTGTGTTGTGGGCTCTGCTAGCATCCCATATGGCATCAAAAATTAATTTCCCTACATTCACAGTAGCTTTGATCATAAACAGATACATCAGAAGTGCCAGATTCCGTGGGGCTTCACTGAGATGAGTGGCGGCATAATGTTCCTTGTGATAATATGCAACCAAATTCTGGCCTCAGGTATCATGTCCTTCCGTATAATATATGCTTGGCCCCTCTTAGGTCTCACCCACATCTCATCAAAACCGGTGAGTGTTGCTGAGATTGCATCAAGAGGAATCTCCTTTTGATTGCTAAGATACCACTGATATTGGCACTTTTCAACCTCGGGAAGCTCATAGTGATCTCTAATGCGCTCTGGAGTAATGAGGACACGCTGGTATCGTATAAACATCTCATTACTCAAGTTTGTTGCCACCCTAATATAGAATTTCCTGACCAGCTTCTCATTCCCTTCGCTTCTGGGACCAATCAGATTTAAGAAGTTGAGCTTCCTTGCTTTTTTATAAAACCCAAATTTGTTTGTGCATGGAAATTCTCTTTCTTGATGCAACCCTCTTCTTTCAATAGGCTCTTTGATTGGAGGATCAGGGAGGTAGCATGGGCTTTCTTCCTCGGGGCCATTTGATTGTTACCTGCAAAGAGAAAGCAAAGCACACCACACACAAACTAAGCAAATAACACACCACAATCACAAAACAATCGACAAAGAAAAAAGAAGAAAACTAACCTAAAAACAAAGAAAATCTCTCCCCCAAACTTAAATCAAAGAGCCAGAACACAATCTCACCATTACTTAATCCCTTTCTAAACCTGAGTCATAAAATACCCTCAATTCAAACCAAGTTCACAAAGGTTCTCTTTTATCAAATAGTTTCAAAGTCAGACAACCATCAGTAGCTGCCAATTTAAACTATTTTCACTAAATCAGAATAACATTTCCAAATCAGTTACAAGTGAAAAAGAATAACATAACTTGGGTAATGAACCGGTGTTATTTGAAAATTTAGACAAGCACCTCATTTTCTCAAATCAGTTCCAAGCTATGATCACTCAATTTCACAAGTATTACATTTTCATCAGTACATGTTCACAGGTAGTTAGGCAATGTGGAATTATCACCTAACCACAATGCAACCTCAGAGAATCAAAATGCCCCCATCTAGAGTTCAAAAATCATCTAACCACAATGCACAACCCTAGCAATACCCATCTCCAGTGAAACTAAACTAAAATAAAATAAATAAAAGAGCAAGAAAGAACAAACCTCCAGCAGACGAACAAGGGAGGGAAAGCGCCGAAACACTCAAGTAGAAAAACCGGCGGTGCTGAAGAGGGGTTAAGGAGGCGCCAAAAATGAGAGTGTGGAGGAGATATTGCGATGGAGATAGGAATGGGGGTCAACGGTGAGAGGAAATAGAAGATTGGCACCGACGATGAGGGAGAGAAGGGCGAATGGCGGCGAGGGAGAAATAGATGACAGGCGGCAGCTAAGTGGAAAAAATTGTTCAGCGAGGGAGAGGGTGTCACACCTTACTATAATATTGACTTAGGTTCCTTTCAAAATCATTTTTGACCACATTGGATGGTCTTGGGCTCACTTTTTACCATAAAAACGCTAATTTTCGGATTTTTACTGTTCATCGGGTAAAAATCCAGTTTTTCTGGCCCAACTTCAAAAATTCATAACTTATTCTAAAAAAATCCAATTTGGGTGGTTCAAAATTCTACTTAAAGCTCTTTAAGTCCTCTTTCAAGGAAAAATAATCTCATTGTCCAATTATTTATGAGAAAGCGTCAGGTTTTTGAGAAAACAACACTGTCCATTTGCCAAAAACCCTGATGTCCAGATTCTGACCATTAACTTTGAAAAATCATTATAAATCGTATACTGGTCCATTTTTAACGTATTAGATATCAATTTGAAGCTCAGGATGTCATCTTTCATCATGCCAAATTTTACGATTTAATGCGTTTGGAAACATAATCAAAAAGTCACGTGAACCGGTCAGGGTCAGTGTGCTTCCAGCACTGTTAGTTTAATATTTACATAACCAAAATAAGCTCACAAATTTTGTGGCTAAACTCCACAAATCAACCTTCAATCTGCAGCTTCCCTTTTGAAGATTCAGGCCCTAAAATGTTACATGATTCTTGGGGGATGAGATTTTTGGAAATCCCAGTAGTAAATTAACCAACTATATCACCAAGCAAGCATCATTATTATGCATGATCACATTAGCTACTATGGATGAACTAACATGCTTATCATTTGGCAAACTCAATCATGCAAAGGCCAAAGCAAGATACTATAAAGAGCAGCCACATAACAATCAAGAGAGCTCAATCACAATAATAGCAATTAACCATACAATAATCAACAATGCTAGTTAGTGGTAGTAGCTAGGTTTAACTTACTACCTTGCTTCAAAAGTCTTAGCCTTTCTTCCTTCTCCTCTTTCCCTTGGCAAATATCAAACCCTAACCATGTGATTCAACAAAAATGGCAGCAAGAATCATTATCCAACCATGAAAAAGCAAGAACATACATCAAAATGATTCTTGAACCATAAAGTTCCCTCCTTTGTTCACTAGTTTTAGATTTGGTTCTCTTTAACCCTAAAAATCACTCCTTAACTTGTTCCTACATGGATTTTCATGTAGATTCCAAAAATGGGCTTAGATTTGTGAAAATAAAACTGATTCTTCCAGCCACAAACCGACCAAACCACTAGAGGTTTTGACCCAAAATTTTCAGCTTTGCTTTTAGGCTTCCAACACTTGTTTCTTTTAGTCTACCCTACACCATTCCTCATTTTAAGCATCATGGAAGCCTTAAAACAATGAAAAACTCATCCTAGGGTCCAGTTCTTCACTTGGCCAAAAATAACTCTCACAACAACAACCATGAAAAATGCTTTAAAATCACTTAAACTCACCTGCCAACACTAGGATCTAGCTTGTGTTGCTGTGTCTTAGCAAGTGTTATGATCAAAACTTCTTTTCCCTTTTTATCAATCAGTTTGGTCCACATTAAGAGAGGGAAGAGACAGATTTTAAACCATAAAAATGAAAGAAACCAAAGAAAGAACACTTCTAGGACCAAGATCTAACCTTGAAACCTTGCTAGGATGATCAAAAGTGCTCCCTTTCTCCTTGTTTCCTCTCAAACTCTCTCTTTTTCTCTATTTTTCTCCCTTGCACGAAATGAACATCTGAAAATGGGGAGAGAAGAGCTTGATTAAGGCTTCAAAATATCCCAACCACCTTCTTTAATGATAGTCCAAGTGTCATTACCCTACTAAGTCTTGATTCCTCTCTCTTAATTAACATAATTCCAAATGAAATTATTTACTAAAGTCAAAATCCTCTCCATTCATGGAATGACACTTGGCTAATTCAAATCTTCTCCTTCAAGAGCTTGACACATGGCTCAATAGGATCCCTTGGATTTGCAAGACACCAATCTTGCTTTATCGGTATACTTTAGGCTCTGAGTTTAACTTCTTTTTTATAATTACAGTAACTTAGTCTCTGTAATTATTTTCTATCAGATCCTTAATTTATTCTCCTCATTATTGTCTTCCCAAATTGTCCTCTTTGTCTCAAAATTAATTTCCTAATATTTAAATAAAAAGGAAAATTAATTTCCTTCTCTTTAGGGATTTTTCCACTTTTCACATTTATTTGGAAAAATCTTGGACACTTGAGGGTTTCCATTTAATTCCATAATTCCTTATAATTCCTTGGGATCTCATAGGAATTTTCTTGGAATTTTATTCCTCTTAAAATATTTATTTGGAATTTTCCAAATAAAATCCCTCAATTAGCCTAAATCACCCTTAAATTCTCTTATAATTTCTCTAAGGGTAATTTGGTCATAAAACCAACTTTATAATTTCATATAACTCTCAAAGGATATTATCCCTATTTTTCCTTAATTTTTCATGGCTCGAAAATATTTTTCCTTATTTACATTTGACCAATTTTCTTTAATTAGTCAATTTCCTATAATTGGCTTGGAAAATTACTGTAATTATTTTCTACCAAAATTCTTTGACTTTTCCTTATTACTTTTAATCCTCAATAATTTGAGAATATTTCTTGTCTCCAATTATCATAATACTGGATGTGACAGAGGGAGAGAATGATCTGCGGGTTTTGAATGGATCGAAGGAGGGGGTAATTTCGAATAGGAAAGGGGGGTTTGAATGTGGTAAGGAGAGTGAAAAGACCAAAGGGTTAGGGTTTTAAAATTAAAACAACGAATCTACCCTCAAAACCGGTCAGATACACAAGGGCAAATTGGGTATTGAGAGAAATGAGTAAGGTTAAAATGGGGAACACAAAGAAGGAGTTCAGAAATTGCGAGAAGGCGCCGCGGTAGATTCACCAAGGCGCCGCGGCGCCTTTTACAAAACTGCAGACGCTGGTTAAAGTAATCGCGCTGCGGCATCTATGCCCAAACATTGCGGCAGTTTTTACCAAGACGGTCTGAAAACCATGGACGAAGGCACCGCGGCGGATTAATGCAGGGGCCGCGGCGCCTATTACAGGGAGAAGATTCTGAAACAGATGAGAAGCCACAGCTTCTTATCAAATGCGCCGCAGCGCCTCATACAGAGAAGGCCTAACATGAAAAATTAAAAAACACTAACTGGACCTACCACAATCAAACACCCTACACACAATAAAACAAGACTAAACACAAGCACAAATATTAAAAACCAACACAACACAAACAACCACATAAAAAACAAAACCCACAAGCCTCAATTTAACACAAATTCAAACCAATCAAGGTTAAGGCCATTGCTGGAGATTAAGGTTAGGTGCACTTCTCTGGTTACGCTAATTAGAAATCAACCACTCCTACTGAGCTCCAAAGTTTGAGGAATAAACCAAAAGGCCTACAAAAACAAAGATCAAACGTAAATCTACCAAAACAAAACCGAAATAAAAAGAAACACATCAAAGGCAAGTTTAGAGCTTGGGTTGCCTCCCAAGTAGCGCTTGGTTTATAGTCTTCAGCCTGACTCTTCAGCTCTGTTATGATTGTTCAGCAAAGTAGATCGTAGAGACTTGACGATCCACCTTTCTACCCCAATAATGCTTTAAATGATGGCCATTTGCATGAAATCTTTCACCCTTTTCATTTTCCAGCTCCACCGCACCATGGTTAGCAGCTTGTACCACAGTGAATGGCCCTGACCAGCGTGATTTGAGTTTGTCTGGAAATAATCTCAATTTTGAATTATGAAGTAACACCTTTTGCCCCGCTTTAAAGACCTTAGGGATAATTTTCTGATCATGATACTTCTTGGTCCGTTTCTTATAGAGCCTTGCACTTTCATAAGCATTAAGGCGAAATTCCTCCAATTTATTTAGTTGAAGGAGCCTTTTTGCACCAGCAGCTTGAAAGTCAAGATTGAGCTTTTTTATGGCCCAGTAAGCTCCATGTTCCAATTCTACAGGCAAATGACATGCTTTTCCGAACACCAACCGATAGGGAGACATCCCAATCGGAGTTTTATATGCTGTCCTGTAGGCCTAAAGAGCATCATCCAGTTTTAATGACCAATCTTTTCTTGTTGCACCTACTACCTTCTCAAGAATACTTTTGATCTCCCGGTTGGATATTTCTGCTTGGCCATTTGACTGAGGATGATAAACCAAAGTTACCCTATGCTTTACACCATATTTCTTCATCAGAGCTTGAAATTGGTGATTGCAAAAGTGAGAACCGCCATCACTAATGATAGCCCGTGGTGCTCCAAATCTAGTGAAGATGTTTTTCTTTAAGAATTTGATCACCGTTTTAGCATCACTGGCTACACATGCAGTAGCTTCAACCCATTTCGAGACATAGTCCACAGCAACCAGAATGTACTCTTGATTGAGAGACTTTGGAAATGGGCCCATGAAATCAATCCCCCATACATCAAAGAGTTCAACTTCCAGAATATTATTCAGAGGCATTTCATTCCTTCTTGATATGTTTCCCACTCGTTGACACCGATCACATCGGATCACAAAGGCATATGCATCTTTAAATAGTAAAGGCCAATGAAAACCACTTTGAAGGACTTTAGCAGCAGTTTTCTCTCCTCTAAAGTGCCCGCCATAGGCTGAAGAGTGGCAACACTCTAGAATATCTTGCTACTCAACTTCCAGAACACATCTTCTTATCATCTGATCGGCACATCTTTTGAACAAGTACGGTTCTTCCTAGAAGTACATATTTGCATCGTGAAGAAATTTCCTCTTTTGGTGGGAGTTAAGATCTAGTGGCAGAGTTCCACAAACCAGATAATTAACCAGATCTACATACTATGGAGTAGTTGAGTCATCCATAAAGAATAAGCATTCATCGGGAAAAGCTGCAATGATCTCTTGACAATGATCATGTTGAGTTTCACTACTTAATTGAGATAGATGATCTGCCGCTTGGTTCTCAGTGCCTTTCCTATCAACAATTTCCAAGTCAAATTCTTGAAGCAAAAGGATCCAGTGAATCAGGCGTGCTTTGGAATCTTTCTTGGTAAACAGATACTTTAGGGCAGAGTGGTCTGTATAGATAGTCACTTTGGTGCCTACAATATAAGACTGAAATTTCTCACAAGCAAACACCACTGCAAGCAATTCTTTCTCTGTAGTAGTGTAGTTAAGTTGGGCATCATCCAGGGTTTTACTTGCATAGTAGATGGGATGGAAGACCTTTTCTGCTTTTTGTCCAAGCACTGCTCCAACGGCAAAATCATTAGCATCTGCCATAATGATGAAGGGTAGCTCCCAATTAGGTACCACTAAAATTGGTGTTGAGGTGAGCTTCTTCTTTAACTCCTCAAAAGAGTTCATACAAGCGTCATCAAACTTGAACTCCCTATCTTTCTCCAACAAATTGCACAAAGGCTTAGTGATTTTAGAGAAATCTTTAATGAAATGACGGTAGAATCCCACGTGACCCAAGAAACTTCTAATACCCTTAACACTTGTTGGTGGAGGCAATTGCTCAATAACAGATACCTTTGCCTTGTCAACTTCTAGGCCTTGTTTGGATACTCGATGACCAAGGACAATGCCCTCTTGTACCATGAAGTGACATTTTTCCCAATTCAGAACCAAATTAGTTTCTTCACATCTTTGCAGAATAGCCGCCAAGTTATCTAAGCAACAATCAAAAGAATCTCCAAAAACGGAGAAGTCATCCATGAACACTTTAATTGTTTTCTCAATCATGTCAACAAAGATGGCCATCATGTATCTTTGGAATGTTGCTGGAGCATTGCAAAGACCAAATGGCATTCTTTTGAAAGCAAACATACCATATGGACAAGTAAATGTTGTTTTCTCTTGATCTTTTGGGGCTATTACAATTTGGTTGTATCCTGAATATCCATCCAAGAAACAGAAGAATTTTTGCCCAGCAAGTTTATCCAACATCTAATCAATAAATGGCAATGGGAAATGGTCTTTTTTGGTTGCTGCATTTAACTTTCGATAGTCCATGCAAATTCTCCACCTAGTCACAGTACGAGTTGGAACTAACTCATTTCAGGTGTTAGCCAATACAATTATACTGCCTTTTTTAGGGACGCATTGAACTTGGCTCACCCATGAACTATCAGAAATAGGGTATACTATGCCAGCAGAAAGCCATTTAAGGATCTCTTTCTTGACTACCTCTTTCATAACCGGGTTTAATCTCCTTTGATGCTCAATGGAAGGTTTGTGACCATCCTCTAATAAAATCTTGTGCATACAAATAGAAGGGTTGATCCCTTTGATGTCAGCTATGGACCACCCAATAGCTTTCTTGTGGTGTCTCAAGACCCTTAACAGTTTCTCTTCTTGCAACGTGGACAACTAAGAAGAAACGATCACAGGTAATGTAGTAGAATTACCCAAGTAGGCATACTTGAGATGTGACGGTAAAGTCTTCAACTCCAACATCGGCGGTTCATCCACAGAAGGCTTTAGAGGAGAGTTTAAAGCACTAGTCACATCCAGACGCTCAAAAGTCTTAGCTTTTCGATACGGAAATGCTTCAATACTCATCATTTCTGCATACGCTTCAACCTTGCCATCAATACTACTTGTTTCTCCAATCAACAATGCTTCTAATGGGTCTTTGGTCAAAGAGTTAATCAACTCCTCTTGCATTGTAGAATCAATCACATCGATACAATTACAGTGAGCAGAATCATATGGAAACTTCAAGGCTTGATTCATGTTGAATATCACATTCTCATCATTTACTCGCATGGTGATCTCACCCTTTTCTACGTCAATGAGGGTTCTTACGGTAGCTAAGAATGGCCGTCCCAAAATAATGGGGATATTCCAATCTACCTCACAGTCTAACACAATGAAATCAGTTGGGAATATGAATTTATCTACCTTCACCAAGACATCTTCTACAATCCCTTTTGGATATGAGATACTTCTGTCAGCAAAGAGCAATGTAACAGTTGTTGGCCTTGCTTCACCCAAATTTAATCGATTGAATACAACTAGAGGCATCAGGTTAACACTTGCTCCCAAATCGCATAGGGCTTTTCCATTGAAGTGTTTGCCTATGTTGCATGGAATATAAAAACTGCCTGGATCTCTCAATTTGGGTGGGAGTTTTCGCTGCAAGATGGCACTACAATCTTCAGTAAGGGCTACTCTTTCAAATTCACCAAATCTCTTCTTCTTGGAGAGAACATCCTTAAGAAACTTAGCATATTTAGGCATCTGCTCTAATGCTTCAGCAAACGGGATGTTGATGTGTAATTGCTTAAACATGTCCACAAATTTCTTGAACTGGACATCTTCATCTTTCTTCCTGAACCTTTGAGGAAAGGGAAGTGGCGGCATCTGTGTAGCAGGAGGGGGAGTTGTCTTCCTCTTTTTATCATCAACCATTTTACCCTCTACATTTTTTCCTCGAACCACATCATTGAGATTTTCTTTTGTTTGTTTCCTTTTCTTGGTTTCTTCCTCTTCTACTATACCACCTTCTTCTGAAAGCTCATTTGTATCAAGATCAGTCACCATACTGTTAGTGATGTCCTTGTCGGTCTTACTAGGCCTCTGAATGTCAGGTAGTTGCTTTCCACTTCTCAAACTGATAGCTTTGCACTCTTCATTACCATCCCTTTTTGGATTGGGAATGGTATCACTTGGTAAGCTGCTTCTTGTGAGTACATTCATTTGTGAAGCCAGTTGACCCATTTGAACCTCAAGATTCTTGATAGCAGTTTCATGGAGAGAAAATGTTGCCTTATTCTCAATCCTTGCAGATTCTTGATTTGCTAATAGCTGAGCAAACATCTTCTCAATTTTGGATTCCTCCTTTTGAGGATGCTGCTATTGCAGTTGATGTTGTTGCGGTTGACCATGAAAACCAGGAGGCCCCATTTGTTTAGCACCAAATGGTAATATTTGTGGTGGATTCAAACTTGGCCCATTTCGCGAGGAGAAATTTGGGTGATTTCTCAAATTTGGATTGTAAGTTTGAGAGTAAGGGCTTCCTTGTGGTCTTCGCTGTGCATTATTCATATAATTGACTGTTTCCAAGGTTGACAAACTCAATTATTTTTATATATTTTGGTGTCTTTTATATGAGTTTTGTCAGCTTAATTGATCCCTTTTTGCCTTAATTGATTTATTTTGTTTTATTTTGAATTATTATTTTATAGGGGCAAAGTTTTCATGTTTTGATTTAATTATGATTAATTGATTTTTAAGGACAATTAATGCTACCTTATCCTTAAATTTTGCTTGCAGGTTCTTGGAAGATTCAAAAATAAAAAATAAAAAAATAAAAAAGAAAAAAAGAAAAAAATTAAATTAAAAAATATATAATAATAAGGTGGGGGCAAAACGCAACGTTTTGCCCCAACCTAATAATCATCATCTCCAGCGAGCGGAAAGAAAGAGGCAACAGAAGACGCGAGGCGCGGCTGGAACAGAGCTGAACGGAGCCGCATACGAAACAGAGCAAGCTGGCCGAGCGAGCTGGGCGGCGAGCGAGGAGACCATTCATCATCTTCTCCGTTGAATCTTTCTGGTGGTGGAGAGAATCAACGCGGGGCGACGTGAGGCGAGACGCGCTGGACGACCAGTGACGGCGTGAGGGACTTGGTAGTAAAACAGAGCTGGGACGGTGGTTGAGAGAAGAAAGAAGAACCAGTGACAGCAAGACCAGAAGCGTGAACAGGACCTTCATCACCACCGTCTTCTTCACTGCCATGGCCGACCGTATGAGGAAACTTATTGAAGTAGATTCTGAAATTATGCGTGGCTAGAGCTGAATAATCCTCTAATTCAACAATAATGGCAGGAGCTTGGATCATCAAAGGGGAGTTTTAGTTGCTTTAATTTCCTGTCTAATAATTGTTTAACAATTCCTAGGTCTTAGGATAGTTATTCTGATTATTAGAAAATTTTGTATTGTTAAATTTGATTATCTGTGGAGATTTTTGTGGCTGGATTATTGTTTAGCATTTGACATTGGGTTGTTTATAGCTTTGATTTCAATTATGATGTTGTGGTTATGACATTTGTATTAATTTTGGAGTTAATATATTGTGATTTTCTGAGGTGGCTTGGAATCTTGGATCATATTGTCTCTTGCTAGCTTTAATTCTATTATTTTGGATTTAAGAATTTTAATTAAGCATTAGTTTTTAGCATCCTTAATTCTATTTTACTATTCTGGTTGCAGTTAGTAAATTAGGATTTTGGGAAAATATTTTGTGACAATTCGAGGTGGCTCGGTTGTTGGATTAAAAGCTTAATTATAATTCTTAATTCATTGTTTTAACTTCCACATCTTTTAGAGTGATGATTGCCTGCGTTGTTGAATTGGAGGATTGATTATCATCATTGTTATTTGTGTGTCTCATTTTTATTTCTTTAATCTTCATTCATTTTAATCATTTTTACATAAAAACAAAAAAAGTATTTTAATTTCAATTTAATTCATGGTGTTTAATTAGAAATTCTCAAATCAAAAATCCTTTTTATAATTTAGGTTACTTGCATTTATTTACTAGGATTTAATTTCGTTTTCGGCTCCTCAAAGTGAATACGACCCGGATTGTGCACTATATTGCATTAATTCGGTTAATTTTTGGAGTAACTCCAAAGCGACAATTAAGGGAAGTTAACTTCAAGTGTATGGGCATTGATCAGAGTGATGTTCCTCATTACAATGGTCACAAGTGTATCCCGGAGCCTGAAGTGCATGAACTCCCACAGCATTTCCTTTCTTAATCTGTAATTCCATATTGTCAAATCTCTTAGATATTGCTTCGAGTTGCGATGCAATATCCCTTGATGATGAAGAACTAGGCTCCTTATATCTCCCAAAACTTTGCCTTCTCTTGTTATACTATTGCATAGTGCTAGATGCCACCTCTTCATACAGTTCATATATCTCATTAACCTTCATCTTTTCGATTCTTCCATTTGAAGCGGTATTCAGCATTGTCACTATCTGATCATTCAACCCATTCCAGAAGGCTTCCATTAAAACATATTTCTTTTGCTCATGATTTGGACAATTTCTCCACATATCCTTGAATCTTTCCCAAGCCTCGTAGAATAACTCATCTGGATGCTGCTCGAAAGAAAGCAATTCACCCGTTAATGTAGCACGTTTGCCTCTTGGAATAAATCTGGCCTTGAACTTAGATACAAGCTCATCCCAAGTCTTAATGGAGTGTTATGGTAAAGAATTCAACCATGTTTTCGCCTTGTGAGACAACGACATGGGGAACAATCTCAATCACAGTGCATCTTTAGTAACCCCATTTTGTTTGAAGTTCTCACATACCTCTATAAACTTGGTCAAATGCTCATTCGGATCATCATTAAAATTTCCTTCAAAAGTACCCATCACCCCCAGTAGTTGAATCATAACGAGCTTGATTTCAAAATTCGTGGCTTGAATGTCTGGTAGCCGGATACTTGAGTGAAAAGTCTATCCTTCTTTATCCAAATAGTCATCCAGAGTGTACACGTCGTTCTCATCTTCCTCCGCCATGTTTTCTTCTGATTCTGATTCAGGTGGTGGTGGTAGAAGTAACTAAGGTTGTTGTTGAATCTCCGGTGTGTTTTCAGTTTCTCCCGACCTGGATTCTTCTTCGGTAACTTCTTCCAAAATAACTTCCAATCTTCCTTGCATGCGTCAGGGGTTACCTGCGCATTCAAATCGAAAATAAAAGTATCAAACTTATCAAGAGAAATGAACGAAATAAATACTACCACTACTACCTATAACTATCACTACAAATGCTAACTGAAACTTAAGCGTAACCAATCACACAATAAGGTCAATCAACCATAAACACTCTCACCGTTAGTCCCCAGCTACGGCGCCAAAAACTTGTTCACCGATTAACTAAACCGCAAGTAGACGGGTCACAAGTAATATAAAAAGTATCGTTTCCTCAGAGACTAAGGCTAGATGAGTTGAAAATCATAATTGTGTACTTGATTAGGTTAAGTGAAACAATTGTTATAAAAGAGTTGGAGAAATGAAATTAGGAAAACAACGGTTTAAAGCAGTATAAAATCAACTTGACCTTGAAACAATGAAGAGACTAGGGTTATTCTTCACTAAAGTACTTCATGAACTGGATTAATCACTTCTCAAGTAGTGCTTTACAATAAGTTCAGTTAGCCTGGGTTTGCAGAATTGATTAAGCTTTCTCAAGTCAAAACCAAATGTTTGCAATCACGATTAAAACACAGCAATCTCTTGCATTTGTTTGAAAAGGTTGCACTTTAAAAACCAAAACCCATTTAGTCTATGCTAGGTCAACAGATACATCTATGTTCTATCAACAAACCGTCTATTTACTCAATTAAATTTCCGGACTAGCATGTTTTTACCAAAGTTCACAGATTAGCTTAACTTTCTCAAGTTAGACTAATCAAACAATCATTCCAAATGATGGCCAGACATAAGGAAGCATTAAGTTCAAAGTAAAAACAATTGAACATTATCATTAACACTCAAGAGATAGTAAAACCAAGTCTCAATCCATACAATAGATCAAAATAACCCTAGAAAAATGGATTTAGCTATACATATCGAGAAAAGAACTACAACTATAAGAGTAGCTAGTAGTCATAGCAGAAACAAGAAGGGAAGAAGAAGAAAACCCAGAAAAATCAAGTTACAAACTTCGAATTTCTTCTAGCTTCAAGCCCAAAGATTCCAAGCTTCCAAAACTCCAAACCCTAGCAGAGCCAGCCTCCAAAATCACTCCAAAGTCGAAGTTTTTTTTCAAAAACCGAGTATCCCCCTCTATATGCCCTAATTTTTTAAGTTACAACATAAAACGCACAGCTGCGAGGGGTTAGGCGCCGCGACGCCTTTTATAGAATGGCTTTCCTTCGAGGCTCAGGCGCTGCGGCGGATCATACCAAACAAGCTTCCTCCGAGACAGCTTGGGCACCGCGGCAGATTCAGTAAGGCGCCGCGGCGCCTTTTACAGAGACACACTCCTCCCTCTCTATTTGAGCCGCCGTGGCGTCTTCTCCCAGATGCCGCGGCGGATGACTTCTTTTTAGCTCTTCTCAATTTCTTACTCTCCTCAGGCTTTGTTTCCTGCAAAATTGACTTTCAAACCCAATAAAAGAGCGCTAAATCAGCTTAATTCAGTAGGAATTTTGAGAGGTTATCACTAAAATGCAAAATTTAAAAGTGAAATTTCTAAGAGAAAAATTTGATATCTTTACCACCAAAGAAGGGCATACTCATAATGATGAAATGATGATGAAGTTTCAAAAAATTGATGATAGTGGTTGTCTATTACATATTTACACTCTTGATGGAACTTTTAAATGTTGTCTATGTTTTAGATGTTCTTAAATATTAATAGATGTTTAAATATGATAATATTTTCTGTTTGTGACTTAATTTTATTTATATCTATTTCTTTTACTAGTAATTTTATTGCTTTATTTTTATTTTTTTTTATAAAATATATAGGAAATATAAAGAGTTGTATTTTTTCTTAAATGGGCCAAAAGCCCGCTGACCAGCCCGGGGCCCACCAACTTAAGGACCATGCCTGACAAAATGTAATATTTTTGAAATTTCAGACCAGCCCGTATTCCTAGCATTACCCCCCACCCCCAGGCCCCAACCCAATTTTTTCAAAGCAAAGTCTCACTGGGGTTCGCATTATGTATTCCTTTTGTTCTTTTTTATAAACAACAACTACTGTCTTCTTCTTATCCCTAAATATATGCAACAAGTTTTCTTAGATTTTTGTAGCAATTTTCCCATTTTACCCCCATTAATTACTTATTTT